AGGCACAGGTAGGGCTGACAAAACATCAAACTAGAGATTCAACCCTAAATTAATACAAATCAGAATAAACACAAAATGCTGGGTCAACGACCCAGGACCATGACATTCTCTGAGGCTGAAATTCTTTAAGCTTTGACTGACTGTTTGCTAGTTTTGGGAAAAATGCACTACAATAGCAATCTCTGCATGTCATTGAGTATGCAATTAATTACTGCTGTCATTTTGGTGATATTTAAAATACAATGTGGTTTTTGAATCATGTGGCTGATCATTTTGAAATGGTCCTTATATAGATATGTAAAAATGAGTACAGTCAAAGCCAATTTGTGACAGTGAGGTGGCATTTCATGATTTTCAGTGGTAGTAAGGTAAAAATCTACTATGTTGACAAGGACAGAATAACTGAGAGGAAGAAAAGGTTCACTTCTTCTGAGCTCATCTATGGATGGAAGCAATGTACCGTCGTACATCCTTTGCTTCGCCACACCCATGGGCTACTTAAAAAGTTACCAAAGACTGTCACGCTACACTTTGAGAACCCTGACAAGAAGGTCAGTCAGTCCGGAAAAGTTCAAGAACTTGTCAAAGTTTCTTCAGAAAACCATCAAAGACTGATGAAAAAGGCTCTTGTGAGGACCACCTGAGACCCAGCGGTCCCTCTGCTGCAGAGGAAGAGTTCATTAGAATTACCAGTCACAGAAATCAAACATTAATGGCACCTCAAATTGAAGCCCACATCAATGCTTTCCAGAGTTTAAGAAGCAGACGCATCTCATTATCAACCATATGGAAGAGGCTATTTAAATTGGGCTGAAATAAACCAACCACAGGGAGGTACAGGTGAAGGTTTATAATTCAGTAAGATGAATGTATTACATATACATATATACCTGCTAAAGAAGGAAACGTAAGTTTATTGTTTTTTGTTTTGTTTTTATAACAAAAACAAAGAAAAAATAGGACAGAAACTAAACAAGTAAGAGGACAGCAGCCACATGGGAAGTCTATGAGCAGGACTGGAAACAGTCTTGTCCATGAGACAACCTCGCGAAGCTGATTGAGAGAGCAAAGTTATTATAAAAACCAAAACATTTTTAAAATGTTTTATTTTGGTTGGTGTGTGATTACACCAATAATATGCTAAAGTTTAACAAATAAATAATTTAGAAAAAGAGGTTTGGTTTGTCATTTTAGCAAATAAATTGTATCTATAAAGTAACTGATTATTTCCTTTAAAAGGAACATATCATTATTATGGCAGCCCTCAGTGTCCTTTAGCTGCCTCTTCAGTGAGGTAAATCCAGGTGCCTTGGAGCACAGCTCTCAACATAGTCTTTGTTCTGCTCTGAAACTTTGGATGCTTGCTATATTCCAGATTCTGGCTCAAGTGACCCTCAGACTGATTTGCAGTGACTCAAATATTAACATAAAATTCTTCAAGAACTTCATAAACAAATAATAGAACAGTCTAAGCTTCCTTTCCAGTTGCAACACTATTTATAAAATAGTGAGCTACAAATCACCACTTTCAATGCTTTTGGAATAAAAAAAGGCAAAAAGATGGTGCAGAGGTTAATTGGTTAATCCATGAGCTGATGCAAAGTCCTTCAAGAAGCAGGTATCCTAACAGCGGCAGCAATCTTAGAAGCCTCTGAACGGGAAGGCAGCCATAACTCTAATCTCAGTGACCAAAGGGATAAAAGAAAAAGAAACATATCTGTAGAATAGTCAGTCAATTCTAATAAAAACACTGGAAAGAGGGATTTAAAGTTTGGCAAACTGTACCAAGATTAGTTCTTGCTCTTTGTCCTCCACAAGTAAAGGAACTGGTTCTCTACTCAACTGGAACACTTAAAACACTTTATACAACATGCCTCATTCACTCTTTCATACGTGCATTTGGTTCCACTCCTAAGTGCTTTCTGTCTAACTCAAACTCTGTGGGTGTATTCAGAGAGCAACTTAGGGTTCAATATCTTGCTCAAGACTGGAGCAGCCAGGGATCCAAACGCCAACCTTCCAATTAGTAGAAGCCCTGCTCTACACCCCGAGCTACAGCCACCACAAATTACACCATTTACACAATCAGCACAATTTTAGGTTTCTATTTACAGTTGAATTGCCTTTTCACTTCATTATATATTATCATTGGTTAAAGTAACATGCTTGATGTCCATGCAGATATATCAGCAATTACTAATTGGATTACATGAATTATCCCCCTGCTTTCCGACAACAAAGTGTCTTTAGGTCCATGTAAGGCTACACAGCCATACATGGACCTAAAGACACTTTAGGTCCATGTATATTTCTACCGTTATGAATGAGTGCATGCATTCTCTATAACCAGGGGTTTGGTTATAGAGAATGCATGCACTCATTCATAACAGTAGAAAGTGCTTACCAGGTCTGTTAGTATGATAAAGGGTATTCAGCCAAGACTTTGACTTGGAGGCTACACTCCCCCACCTTACATTCATGTCCAGCTGTCAGAGGATCAGAGAGGGTCCAACCCCAAGGTCAGTCAGGTCATTTATTGAAAGTAACCAACCTTACCTTTTAAAGCTGCAAAGTCTGCACTTGCTGGCTGACAGTAAGAGATTTTTCATTCCATTGTGAGCACTGACTTTTATCAAAGTGTGAGTATATAGCTCACACCTCAGCACCTGACCCAGTGAGCCTCAGACAGCCCATCTCTGAGTGCAAAATCCCTGGAATAACTTTTACTCAGAGATGGATAATCTTTCCCTAAAGTGACAATGCAAATGATGATATGATGGCAAATTTCCACTAGGCGCTTGCATCATGTCTTGTTACAAAAAACACAATGGGTGTTAGCAAGTCACTCAAGCATCACTGATCCCTGTTGACGTTTGCAGATTTGCGTAAATATCAAAGGGGACTTTTGGGGGTTATTTTCAGTTGTGGAGGTAGCGTGCATTTTCACCCTGGAGGCAGGGATGCAGAAATAGAGCATAGATGAATAGACAAGAGTGGACAACTGGGGGGGAACAGTGATAAATGAGCTGACAAATGTTGTTTGTGTAAGATCATGATAGCCGTGAGAGGGCCATAATCCACACTGGCGAGCTGAGCCAGAGGGCTGCATGCGCTGTGAAGAAAGCAGGCAGCAGAAACAGAGTTTTGTGTGTGTGTATGTTTGGGCGAGCAAGAAGATAGGAAGAAAGAGAACACTGGGCATAGACACAGGGACAGCTAATCCATATCATCACTAGTCTGGCTAAAAGACAACAGACATTCCTTGCTCTATGTTGAAACAGGCTTCATCATGTACACATTCAAAGCTTGATCATCAGTGTACACATCTTGGAAAGAGATCCCAGCCAGAGGCATATGTGGCTGTTGCAGGTTCAACTGCTGTATCCTGTGTTTTAAGGTTCTGCATTATGGTTTTCATTACCATGCTCCACTGGGGAACCAAGGAAGGAGTTGATGCTCTCACTTTCCTGTGATGATATCGGGATGCTGTAGCTGAGTGCATGAAGTAAACAAACGCGGTCCATCTAGCCTGCTCTAATTGTTGAAATATCATTTCTGCCTCAGTGATGACTGTATCTGTATCTGTGGCTGTGGCTCAGGAGTTGGTGCTGAGTCCTCTAGTATTTGGAAGGTTGGTGGTTCAGTCCCTGTAGTCTGCATGCCATTCTGAACCCCATGTTGATCTCCAATGCTTTTGTCAGAATGTGAATGCTAGATAGAAAGCACTTCTGAGTAGGAAGAAGTCATTGTATGAAAGAGGCATGATGTATAAAATATAAGAAGCAGTCCATTTAGACTCGCCAAGGATACTTATGAAGTCTCTGGGGTTACTCAGTAAATTATTACTCACCCAATGAGTTCTGATCTACGCGTGGCAGTTGGCTGCCTATCCCTGAGCGTTGCTCTCACATTTCTTCCTGTTAAAAGGGAGTTTTCCCTTCCCAGTGTCGCCAAGTGCTTGCTCATCGGGTGATATAGGGGGTCGCTCTATGAGCCTTTACTGTTGGAGGTCTTTACCTTACAATATAAAATGTCTTGAAGTGATTTTTGTTGTGATTTTGCACTAAAGATAAAAAAAACTGAACTTATAACACCTGTGCTGTTCCTGTCCATAATTACTCAGACTGCAGGTTTGAAAAAAATGAATGAACTTGTAAGGCCTCCTTCTGCAGCAGCAATCTCTATCAGAAATTCTCACCAGGTGCTCATGGGATCTGCATGACGATGAAGACAACTGAACTATTCTTCTGTCCAAAACTAGTTTTGCTCCATCAGTGTCCATCACCCGACTGGATGATTCCTCAGGTCCTTGCACTGTATCTTGGTTAGATTGTCAGACCCTTTGTCATTCAAAAACAAAACTTTTCTTCTTTTTCAATCATTTTGCATTTGATTCATATGTGTGCTTCGGGCCATTTTCACCCAAACCTAAGGTGGCCATGACTTTTCCTCATCCATATCCCATAAATATCTTAATATAGCTGAGCACATATTTTCTGTAAAGCACTTATTATTATACACATGGTACAATTTTATTGTATCCATAAAAATAACGAAAGAACCAGAGATTCAATATACTTTGAAGCCT